CATATGTTACTATTTTATAAATTACTTAATAAAGATACAAGCAAGACTTCATCTTAAAAAAAAAAAAAAAAAAAAAATTATAATAATATATTTTTTGACTAGTAATGATTCTTCATATTTCTAATTATTATATTTGTTGGATCTTTTAAAACTTTAATACAAAAATCAAAGTCTTCACATATAATAAAGTATTTGAAAAGCAATTTGTCAAATGCATTATGAAATAAAGATAATTTTGATGTTCAATTATTAAATAAAAAGAGTTATCAAAAATAAAAATTTTTTTTCTTTAAAATAGCAATCTTGTCTGTATGTCTTTATTAAGTAATATATAATTATATAATTTTATATACAAAGTCTATTAACAAGACTATAATTAACTACACATACAACTTTAGTCATTGTCTATTTAAAAGCTCTACCTATAAGTTATCTGCTAATTGTCATACTTGAAACTTATCTGTAAGTTCTTTATTTAAAGTCTTTGATTTTTAATACTATTGCATATATGTGTAATATCCATATTACTATTATAATAACATATCAGATTAAGATTACCTGGTTACTATTTATATCAAGGTATTATCTTATTAGATATTACTAAGTATCCATAGCCTTTAATTCACCTTTGATGCAAACTTACTAAGCTGGTACCAAGATTATTATTTAGATCCAATTTAATGTAACCCATATCAATTAAACCAGTTTTAATGCCAGAAGTGTTTGAATTTTAGTAAATTCATTTCTTTTCTGTAGTTTCCTTTTATGTTTACCATATTACCCACTAATGCACCTTCTCTTCATTTCTGGTATGTCTACTGTTTCTCTCACATTGAATACCAACTTTCCATATTAGGAAACTTCTTTCCAGAAACTTATTTATACACTGATTTTCTATTTACATAGACTTAATCATAGGGTTTAATGTACATTCATATACTTTCATAGATTACAGAGTTTTGCCTCCAGCTGGAATTGAACCGTTGACCTTGTCTGTAAAGAGAGAGGCGCCTAGACCACTACGCTACGGAACCCCATCCTTAGAATAAAAATTTTATTTAAATATTTTTGACAATTTATTATAAAACATCATTTACTTTAACTATCATTACGTCAATCGATTATACATTTATTATATTATCGAATTTGAAATCAACTTAAGTTGCTATTAAATTTAATGATTTATTGATTAGTGATTTATTATAGCATCAAGTTTAGAATCAACGTAAATTGCTTTTAAATTTCGTATCGACTTGGGTTACATTTGGAATTCCTCTTCAACCTAAGTGGATTCCAAATCTACAATAGTTCTGTTCCGACGTACAACATATATATTAAATATTCTAATTTATAAAAGTATTAATATAAATATGATTTGTTAATTCAATGAAGTCAATGGATACTATCCATTCGCTTCATTGATAATTTTCTCAATGGACCTTATCTATTAACAACCCTACCCTGTGTTAAACATTTTGATATTTACATAATAAAAACTGATATCATATAAATTATTAATAAACTATTTTATACAGTATTTATATATCATGTAAGCGCGATAGTCACGAGTTAGAAGCAATAAAAGCAATGCACGATAATTGGATCATACGACACATGTTAGCCAATCATTTACAAAATTTTCAAGATATTTTTAATCGTTGTACCTCCCAGTACTTTACTGTATGACCAATATCTTATAAAAAAAAAAAGAGACAATTATAGTTCTGTAGTTGAGACGACTAAGCCGACTAAGCCGATCAGGAGTTTATTAAATTAACCAATCCTTAGTTAGCTTGCAACATTATGTTACGCGAAGGCTAACATGGGCTTTAACATGATTAAATTTGAGTTATACAATAATAAATTTATACGTACGTATATATATATATATATCTGATATCTGATATGTATATGTTTAAATGCAAGATGAATGATTAGATTTAAAATATTTCTGAAAGAAATAACATAATTTTAATTATGATGTAATGTATTAAAACTAATAATAGTTTCGTACGACAGGTTCATTGAGGAAATAATATTTTATGCCAATTTTTTTTCACCCTCAGCGCATATACATAATTTTGTTGTGTCCACACGTACGTACGTACGTACTGTACATACTATATTAGATAACAAAAAAAAAAAAAAAATTGAAATTTTCTCGTAATTCAAAAAAACTTTTAAGAGTAAACACTAAAAAAGTGATTAACTTGTTTATTGTTCACATTAAAAAAGGTTTATCTGTTGATTATGCATATATTTAATTTTTTTTTTAAAAAAAAAGGCTTATTTTTTTTTAAAAGGGGTAACGTAACGGGATCTAAATTATAATGTTTTATATTGAATTTAGATTGAAATTGTTTACTTGTATAACTAAAAATATTTTCATTACCTTAATGTAAAAAGAACAAGGTATAAAAATTTACTTGTATGATTTCCAAGGCGTACTCATGCAACGAGCATCATCATACGAATTATACTAAAAAAAAACTTTTGTTATACACGTACAGTACACGCATAGTACACGTATAGTACACGTATAGTACACGTACAAAAAAACTTTATCCGATCTTATCACTGACTAAAATGAAAAATAAAGAGTTTTTTTTTTTTTTGTAATAAGCTGATAACGATTCTGCATGGTAATTTTGTTATAGGTAAATATCAGAATATTTGTTGTTATACTAATTACTTTTTTTAATTCTTGCTCCCTTAATCAAAATATTATTTAGTGTTTCTTCTTTAATATACGATGCTACAGTAACCTTCAGGATGATCTTCAGGGTAACTCTCAGGGTAACTATTAGAGCAACTCTTAAGGCAACCCTCAGGGTAACTCCCTCAGAGTAACCTTCAGGCAATATGAAAAAATGGGCAAAATATTTATTTAGTATTTAAACCGAATTTTATAATGGTTTATACAAGATTTCTTAAGTGTTCGGTTTATTCAAGTTTACTCAAGTTCGATATTTAAAACATTAATCCCAAATAAAAGAACGTAGAACATTTATACTCAACATTTGTATATCCTTCGATATAAGAAAACTGTAAATACTATAAAAAATGGTAAGCCAAAACCCGATCTATAATAAATCTATAATAGATCTACTCGACATAAAAAACGAAATCGGATTAAAATAAAATTTTAATTTGAAAATTAGGCATAGTAGTTAAAATTCTTCGAGTTTAGAAATTTGCTTATAACTTCAACAATTAAAAGGATCCAAGTTTCGTTTTAATCTGATTTTTAACGACAAACTCTTGATGTTATTATGGCATTGTCAATGTTACTAAGGACATTACTATATTTTTCACATCAAGAGTTATATATGCACACCACTAAAATCCGTACTGAAAACTCTTATTGAAATCACAATGAAATCCACATTGAAACCAATATTAAAAAAAAAACCGTATTTAAAATCATTTCTAGGTCCCATAATGAAGACTCACATTGAAAACCCACATTGAATACCTCACATTGAAGAACACCAGATCCTATAAAATAAAACTTTTTTTTTTATTAGAGTAGTATTACAAAAATTTTGTTTTTTTTTTTTTAGAAAAAAGATAGAAAGGAAAACAATTAACTAATTTTTTTGAATAAAAATGTTTGTTGAAAAAATTGTCAAACAGAATTTTTTTTGAATTAATTTTCAATCAAATCAAAAAAACTTTTTTTTTTTGAATTAATATTCAATCAAATTAATATATTTAAATTTAATATTCAAACCAACTAATGTATTATATCCAACTAATATATATAATAACTTTTGAAATTAAATTTTTGAAGAAATTAATTTTTGTTTAATTTACCAATTTTAGAATGTTCCTTAATAGTATTTCTAGTAAAAAGATGACTCATACTCATAGTTAAACATTTATAATTAGCACCAAATTCCAATTTAATTTTCATATTTGGAAAAATTTCTTCAAGATATTTTTTAATATCTTCATAAAAATGGTTAATAATACAATAACCATTTAAAGAAAATTCTCTTAATTTATTACCTTCTTGAGAAAATTGTAAATATTCCATTTGAGAACCATCACGATAAAAAGTTATAGAAATTCGATCTATTAATTTTGCGATACTAGCACAAAGAACTTCTTCAATTGTATAAGCGAATGAATCCAAAAGTTCACCAGCAGCTTTTTGAGCAACAGAAACTTGAGATGTGAATGGAATTTGAAAATAATTAAATTCTTGTTCAAGTTCAGGAAGGGAAACATGATAAAAATGTGGATGAGAATTTGAAGGTTGAGGTTTTTTTATAGGTGTTGAAATTTGAGTAGAGATTTGTTGAGTTGAAATTGATTGAGTTAAAATTGATTGAGAAGAAATCGGTGGAGATGATGATGTTGAAATTGTTGGAGGAGAGAAACGAGAGTTTAATGGATTAACTTGAGGATTAACTTGAGGATTAATTTGAGGATTGATTTGAGAGTTGATTTGAGAGTTAATTTGAGGATTAATTTGAGGGTTAATGTGAGGATTAATTTGAGGATTAATTTGAGGGTTAATTTGAGAATTAATTTGAGAATTAATTTGAGGAGTTTTATTAATAAAAGAAGAAGAGGTAGATGCTATTACAGCGGCGGCAGCACCAGTTGGAACAGTAGCATTATTAACTTCAGTATGTGATGATGATAAAGAAGGAGAACAAGATATTATAGAAGAAAGTGGAGGAGATGAAAAACCACTTGAAGTTTCTAATGCAGGACTCCATACAATCGAACCAGTACGATAATATTCCATAATATAATGAAATGCGTAACCGTTGCGATCAATGAAATATTCATTTCCATTTGTAGGATGAAGCATTTCTTTGTTGCGTGGATGGAACATTGTACCAAGAAGGGTTTCTGGATAAGTTGTTAAAGTCGTTCGATAAGTTTCATACTATTCATAAATATATAAATATTTAAATATTTATAAATGTTTATAAATATAAAAGTTATTAAAGATTGAAATAACGTTCGTTTAGAAACTCGATTATTAACTCACTTATAAAATTTTGATTGATTACCTTGATACCACCAACATTTAATATTATTTTATCATTAGGTATTGGGTCATCACCAAGATCTCTTGACATTGTTTCATTTTCGAATTCAACTTCAGATTCTCTATCACTCATTTTTTTTTTTTTTTTTTTTTGCCAAGAATTTGTTTAAAAGAAAGAAATTTTTTTTTTTAGACAGTAAGTTGGTTAAGTGTGGCTATACTGATTTTTGTAACAAATTTGGTCTAGTTATTTAAATGATCGACAAAGGTAGAGAGAAAAAACGGCAAGTATTAATGGTAATGAAATAACCGATCCAATAAATTGATTATTCAAAAATATATGGAAAATGATCCAATAAATTTGACTATTCAAAAATATATGGAAAATGATGATTTTAACATTAACGTTAAATGAACGAAAATTTTTTTATATCAATTACCAGAAAAAAATTGAAAGAAAAAAAAAGTTTGAGGATCTGATACAAAAAAGATATATTAGGATATTGCTTTTAATTTATATATTTACAATTGTGTCGATGTTTGTGTTATCTTTTTTTTTTTTTTTGGTTTGAAAAAGACAGTCATACAAAGCACGAGAATAGATTATTTAGGTTACTTCGTGGGGTATGCAAATCATTGTATTTTAAGACTTACGTACGTATGTAAAAGTACGCAGATGTGTAAGAAGTTTTTTTTCAAGTTTTCTTGTCTTCTTGAATTCTGAATGTTTTTATTAAAAAAAAAAAGGGACAAAACAAAAAAAAAAAAAAAGAAGTGTGTCAGAAATGAAAGATGCAAGATAAGTTATAAATGAAAAAAATAGCCAACTTTTAACAATGCTTGATTAATTTGTGTTTACAACATGCGTGCATAAATGTTTCATCATGCACATACGTACATACGTACATACGTACTAACGTAATCAGTCGATTCGGATAAGCCAAAAATGCAAACGAAAATGCAAACGAAATTTAATGAATGTTCATTAAAAGGGTTTCATTTCTCTTACGTACAAGTGTATTGCTTACACTAAAAGTGTTAAAAAGTTTATTAGTAGATAGGAATTTTTTGAGATTGAGAATGTAACAAACAAATTAAAGAGACAACCTTGTTTTTTTAAAAAGTTAATGCATAATCGGAATAAGTCGTGAGGTTCCTATCGAGATTACCTATTTTATTTGCGTATAATAATATCTATAATCTCTAACGATAATTCTGTAAATTTGATGCAGACTTCTATAAAGAAGAGTTTTATGATTTCTTGCATACAAGGTCTACAAATGGTTTTGTTGGCATGTGTACTAATACTTTATATTTGCTTTTTGAAGCCGATGGGATCGATAAAACTTTATCCTACCGGAGCTATCGGAGAGCTATCGGAGAGCTACCGGAGAGGAATAGACCGAACCGCATGATATTAATTGATATTTAATTTATGAATGTTACACGAATAATTTTACGTAAAAAATTATGTCATTTTAATTAACGTTAATACATCAAATAAAAAGAATGCCACATGATCTTAATAAATTTAGATAATTCAGATTATTCCGAGATTAACAAATCCTAAAAAGTAGGCCCATACGTTTTTGAATTTAAAAAAATACTCCATTTTATGCTGAAAAAAGAACACAAACGTATGATAAACATCATATTTGATATAAGTTTTGTAACTTAACTTAGTCTGGGCTACCACTATCAAACATACTTTATTGGGTGTCCCATATCGGTCTAATTACAAACATGGTAAACATGATGCTTACTTTACTTGGTGTGAACATCTTTACTTTTTATGTGACATATTATATTGTCGATAACGATACGTAACTTTTTCTTTCTTCATCATATATATATATATATATATATATATATATGATAATTGACGGACGTTTCAAACTCATAGTTAACCCTAATCGTGTAGATAATCGTGTAATACTATACTGTACATACAATCTATACTGTACGTACAAGCGAGATACGTATAAATAAGATCTTAAGTTTTAGATTTTTAGATTTATTAGATTTACTTGTACTTCTTTTATTAAACACTATTACTATTATTATCGAACACTATTACACAAATTGCTACCTAAATATTTTTACATGGTTATGGTAATTTTTAATATATTTTGTTTTTAATATATTTTGTATTAAATATATATATATATATAGTATATATAGTATATATAAATATATATATGTATGTGTGATTATTTATACGTACCTATATTGACGATAATGTGTGATGATTTACTCGATAATGTACTTTCTACATTGGCTCACGTTGTTTAGATAATTTCAAACGATGTATACTGATCATCGTTTTTAGGCAGGGACTAAAATGTTACCTATGAAGTTATTCTTTGATTCTGGTGTTGCTAATATAATAAATAAATATGTATGTTAATAATTATATATACTGGTACGTACGTACGTACTGGCGTAAAAAAAATCATGCCATTCCTAATCAAATGATTATCCAAAGTTTAATGATAATCCAAAGCCTTGTGTTATACCGATAAGAACTCTTGCATCCTTTTTGAATTTAACATTTACCAACCAAATTTTAATCTGTTATCCGTGCATGTATAATATATACGTATAATAGATGTATATGTGTATAATATGTGTATAATAGATGTATATGTGTATAATATGTTATAATATGTGTATCAATATGTGATAATATGTGATAATATGTATAATGCCTACGTACCGTACGTACTGTACGTATGTACATTAAATACTACTAACTACATATATGTTGTATAATTACATGCAGATAGGTTTTTATCCATCTTTTCCGTCGTTAATTGATATTAATTGATAAATATCACTTGCTTCGTGATTGATTTAAATTTTTTTTTTTTGTTCAAATAAATTCTGTATAACTACTGTATACGTAACTCTTTATAAATGCTATTAATATTAAGTGATGTCATATTCTAGTTAATATTAACAAAAATGCATTTATGCATGCATATTAGTTTATCATTCGTTCGTTCGTTAAAATATAATATATATATATATATATATACGTGACGATAATGGTACATACGTACAATCATGCTGTAATTGCGTTATTGTTTTGTCATAGCACAGATGGGCGTGGATTACGTGTTGAGATTTTTCGTTTCACGAATCCGTGCATAGAAAAATACTCTATCTTAAAGCGCGTCGATCTTTAATTTTTAAATTACGTAAATGCTTTTGTAAAACATATATGTATACATATACGTATATGTATATTTATCATTATTATTATATTATTGTATATTATTATTATTTTTATTATTGTTACTTTATTATTATTATTCTTCTTATTATTATTTTAATAATTTTATTACGTATTATTATTATTATTATTATTTTAATAATTTTATTACGTATTATTATTATTTTAATAATTTTATTATTAATATTATTTTAATAATTTTCTTATTATTATTATTATTACTTTAATAATTTTCTTCTTCTTATTATTATTACTTTAATAATTTTCTTATTATTATTATTATGTTATTAATTTTATTATTATTATAATTATAATTTTATTAATTTCATTATTATAATATTATTAATTTCATTAATTTCATTATTATAATATTATTAATATAATATTAAATACAGTTAATCCCTGTTAAATGCATCTTTAAAAAATAAGATGGCCAAGTCATAACATACTCATGATATACTCATAATAATATAAAATATGTTGCGTACACGGCTTTGACCTTGTGGTTATAACTGTACGTACGCATGTATAGCACATACCTGATACGTATGTACTGTATATTCGTATGTACTGTACGTACGTATCAGGTATGTACAGTATATTTCGTACGTACGTACGTGTGATCCTTAAATTCCTACAGATAATATATAACTTTTATAAGGTTAAATTGAATTAAGTTTTTATGAATAAAATATATATATATATATATATATATATTCTTTTTTTTATACCCTAAATTTTTTTTTTAAAAAAAAATACCTAATTAAAGTTTTAGAATAAAATTTTAGAATAAAATGCTTGAAAGTATAGGTATCATTTATTTATTGCTATTTGGACAAATTACTATTTTAAAATGCAACATAAATAAATAAATATTTTCACCTGGGTTAAAGTTATTCGACAAGCTATAAATTTGTTGACGTGACAGTAATTAATAGTATTATTAATAGTATTATTAGTAATATCTTGGGTGACTTTTAACCCGGGTAAAAATAGAACTTCCCATAAAAATAAAATAAATAAATAAATAATATCTAATTATAAAATGTGTGCACATCACACACAATATAGCATAAATATCGGTCCGAAACACGGGTAAATGGATAATACAGTAAAGAATTAATAATGAAAAAATTATATAATCAATATAATTAATTATTAACCCTAATCAATTATGATAAATTAAATATATTACAGTATTATAACAAAGAATAATTTATCATAGCAAGAGAGATGATTTTCGTCATGATGGCAAAGGGAATTCTATATCGATATTGTCTATCAAATTATATTTTTTTTCAACCTGTCAACATCTATATTTATTCAAAACCTTGAGAATCAAAAAATTTGTCGATTCCTCGTGAGTTCACATGATTTCATGATCTACAAATAGCTCAATTTTATTCCCACGGGTACATACTGATACAGTACATAAAAATTGTTTTTACGATTTTTTTTTAAAAAAAGATAACAGATAACCCAGAAGAGAAAAAATGAATAAAAGGTTATTCAGCTTTTTCAAAAATCTGCAAAGATGAGTAATGCTGATGAAACATATAATATTGTCTATGGAATTGGTATCTCAAAGGACGAGCATAGAGTCATTCATTTACATAGTATCAAATATCTGCAGAGATAGGGTATAACTTTGTATTCTATTATGACAAAGAAATTTAAGTTGAAAAGAATTTAACATAAAGCATTCATTTTACTATCAAAAAAAATCTGCAGAGATGGGAGTTAAGGATTGGAACCGTTATTAGTTTTAACCGCCTATCACTATAATCGTTTATTTATATTATGCGGTTAAACAAATAAATAAAAAAATTTTTAAATCGTTTAATTATACGGTTAAA